GTGTTCATGTTGAATGAAAGGATAGAGAGATATAGTGTGTACGACAATGAAGTCGATGTTTCCCCATTTGTCTGTTGTACTCGCTATATACCCTCCAGAGTCGTCTTATATGGTCACTGCAATCGTATCTGCATCAACTTTATGCATGTCAGGAGCTAGACTGCAGTGTTTCTGTGTGAACATAGTCGTAGTCGAATTCTCCCGTTCTGCAAGTTGTGTGCATTTTACCCGCTTGGAAGTCGTCTCATATGGGCATTGCGAATTCGTTTGCTTCGATAGTATCCATGTGAGATGATAGGATACAGAGATAGAGTGTGCACACCGATGAAGTCGATGTATCTTCATCTGCCTATTGTACTCGCTATTTACCCTCCAAAGTCGTCTTATATGGTCACTGCGATCATATCTGCTTCAACTGTATGCATGTCAGATGCTAGACTGCAGTGTTACAATGTAAACATAGTCGAAGTCGATGTTTCTTGTTCTGCAAGCTGTGCGCGTTATACCCGCTTGGAAGTCATCTCATATGGTCAATGCGAACTTATCTGCTTCAATAGTGTCCATGTGAGATGATACGATAAAGAGATATAGTGTGTACGACGATGAATTCGATGTATTCCCATTTGCCTGTTGTACTCGCTATATACCCTCCAGAGTCGTTTTATATGGTCACTGCAATCGTATCTGCATCTACTGTATCACTGCGCATATACAGATGGCGAGCACCAGATGTGGGATAGGTGGTTACCAGAACTGAAGTTTGTCATCAACACTGCGACACAGGAATCAACCAGGTACACACCAGCAATGCTGAATTTTGGACGAGAATTGGTACTCCCCGGCCCCCAGTTCCAAGACGAAAATCCGAATACGGCCATAATTAGCACCGACCAATACAATGGGAGATTGAAAAAAACTCCGAGAATTGCAAGATTTGGCGAGGGACAATTTGACTAGATCCTCTGTAGATCAGGTCAAGTATTATAATTTACGCAGGCGTGACTGGGCACCCCAGCTAGGCGAACTCGTCATGTATCGTACTCATCATTTGTCCTCTGTCGCACAAAACTTCGCAGCAAAGCTAGCGCCGGAATTTTCAGGCCCGTATCAGGTGATAAGAATTGACTCGCCGGTGGTATTCCGCTTACGACCGACCAAAGGAGGTCGCCTCGTCACTGCCCATGTGAAAGATATCAAGCCGACCCATTGACCGCAAAGTAAACAAACACCGGTACACATTGACCTTGAGTGTCGGTGTTACGTAAACAAGAAGCGAAGGAGGAGAGGAAGGAGAAGATGATACCGCACTACCAACGGATAAAGGAGGGGGAAGCGATACGGAGAAATAGCCACGCACGGCCGGCCAACAACCAGTTTACCGCAGACATCGACATGGAACCTAACCGATTTAGTCGGACCGCGTTCATGTGGAGAGATGCTCAATCTCGAGTCGACAACGAATACGAAGATTACGATAGTAACCCCGACTGGCAACAGAGACGACGTAGGCTATTCCCACCCCGAATCAAAGTACTCCACAACATAACAATAAAGGAAGCTCGAACTGAGAGTGTAGATTCGGAGTGGGAGATAATCGTGGTATCGGACGATGATGTAGACAATACCACTGAACTCGCTCTACTAAATCCGAGGCCCGACACGACCATGGCCAATACGAGTTCGACAGACGAGGAGGAGATGATCATGGTGCCGGATGATGATTCGAACCCCGTGGAGGACGCTAGGTGCCTCGCCCTACCGAATTCGGAGCCCGACACCGAGGCCGAATCTGATTCGTCAGGAGGAGAGGATTTCGTAGTATTGGAACGCTGGCCTTCTGACGTCGACCTCCCAGCAGCCTCAGTTCCCATAGAAGAAACAGAAGTGACCTGCACCCTCGTTAACCCTCCGATTGACCCGGAACCAGGTCTCGATCTGATCGGCAGGGAGACGATCGACCAGATCATGGAGGAACTGGAGGAGATGTTGGTGTTCGAAGGACACCGCACCCAGGCACAGACCGGTAATGCTCCGGCAAAAAAGCCAAGGGTACCGACCCCCGAGTTACACCGAAAGGCGAGACGGGACCGGGAAAAGGGGCGTCGTCAGGATGCGAATCGCCGGAAGGGACCACAACCGCCCTGAATTGTGCGACGAAGCATGAAGGAAGAATAGGGATAGAATCCAGTTTTTATTTTATTGTCATGGCAGGGGATTATCCTGGCCAAGGAGTAGTTTTTGTTTGGCTCAGTTTTTTCGGAGCAAGAGAGCTGTTTTAGTTTTGAATTTTTCTCAAGAAGAATGATTTTTTATTTAAGATGGTGGAAATCTCCCATTTGATTCTGTTTTGAAGAGTTGGAATTAAAGGAGTATCCCGTTTATTTTTGGAGTTTTTTTAGAGGAAAGAGTTTTGAGTGATACGAAGTTTCCCTCACGAAAGTAAGGGAAAAGTGTAACGAATTCCTAGGAATTACGTTCTAAAAACGCAGATGAGCGGTCCTCGGAAACAGCTCAGTGGGTTTGTAGCGTTTAACGTGTGTACCCGGCTTCAATCTGCAGCCCTACTTTTATGAAAAATAGGTGCATTTGCGAACGGCAGCTCTTCGTCAGTAGGCACTATGGGTTCGAGTTAAAATAGCAAAAATTCAGTTATCTAGCAATCATAAGGTTGAACAAAAAAGATGGGGCGCCACTGCAACTTTCAATTCAAATGAAATGTTACCTGGAAAGTTGAGCAACCAGATAATGAATAATATTAGTTGTTCGCCCAGACTAAAAGACCTAAATTTACCTTAGAGATGTTATGAGTTGGAGTGTCATGTCAAAAAACAAATGTAACAGTCATATACAATACCCAAACATTTAATTATGATGATAGGACTCATATATCACATCACAGGTTTTGACAAATATGCATAATAAAAAAATATTAGATACTTATTTCCTGTTAAGAAAATACACTGTTGCCTGCTATTGTGTGGATGAAAATATGTATAAACCAACCTTATATTGTACTTGAAAAATCAAGAGCTCCTGTAAGGACTTTTTATAGTCATAGCAGATTTTAAAGAAATATTGAATATTGAATAATTCTACCAGCGCATAGTATACCATGTGGAGGGGAAGTAAGTAGTAATACAAAGCGGATTGATCGCCAGAGCCGCAATAAAATGCCGCTAGTTAGCGTTGGCGCTGGTGTCGCTGGTGTTGCGAAGTTCAAATTTGCAGATGGCGGCGGCGCTGATGGCGGTAAATTTGAAATTGTGAGGTTATGTCATCATCATGATGAATTTTTAAATAAATAAATAAATTAAAAAAAGCTGTCACCGCCGGTGGGGGAAATTGAACCAGGGACCTTTGCATTATGAGGCAGCGTATATACGCACTGTGGTATTCCGACCTCCGTGATATTTCAATTATTTAAATGCTATTCAAACGGGATATCCATTGCTGGCGCGCGCGCGCTTATCTTTGCAACGGATCCATCGAGGTAGAGTGAAGCGAGAGATGCATTCCAGAGATAAGAAACTTCGAGTCGAAAATAATATCCATCGCTGGCGCGCGCGCTTATCTTTGCAACGGATCTATCGAGGTAGAGTAAGGCGGCTCGAGCGCGCGGTGCTGCAACGTTCTCGGACGTATGTGTTTGGATGTTAATATTGTTACATTATTGTGTGTGGCAACGCTGTCTCGCTTCATGGTGTTCGAAGATCCAGCAAAGCGAGAGATTCCTTAGAATGATAAGCGCGCGCGCGCTCTCTCGTATTGGAAACAAATACTTGAATAATTAATTATTTATTTTTATAGTGGGTGACGCGTCATGCTGTTGTTTTTTCTTCTGGTAGAATGACATCACGTGTGTGTGTGTGGGTACTCTCTCAAAATAGGATTTTTTATGGACAATTCTCGGAAATGCCAATATACCTATATGCAAAGTCGCATGGTTTGAGGGATATCGTTCTACCATTGACATATGTCATTAATGGTATATAAATGCGAAATGAAACTACTACGAGGAAAATTATTGTTAGATAATCAATTTATTTCACAGTAAAGCTTTTTTACAAAAATAGCATGATTCTTGAGAAGATGGCGGTCCATCCCAGTGAGTAGTCCAATCAGGTCGGTTATAATGGACGAAGCACGGCAGCTTGATTTGGAGGTTGAAGTTGCCACGATATTCATTGGGAAGTTTGTGCCACACAGCCAATAGCCCACAAGCATTAGCATATTCAATGAGGCATTCCACTGGAATGTACTGTAATTCTTCTTCAGTGAATTTCACCAAAGCCATTGCAGGAGATTTCAGAAACTCTAAGAGCACAGCTGATTCAGGTTTCATTATTTTATTTGAGCAGAGCAATATGAGTGTATGCTTCTAGTTTCAAGTCAAGTTGCAGACTGATGAAATAACAACTTATTCATATTATTCATAGCTTTTTTATTTAGGCAATAAATTACATAACCAATTATATAAAGTATCGACATTGTGAAGACTGCACTGGAACTTTTTTTTCGCCACCACCACCTCCTTGGATATGATGCATGCATGCTGGGGTTGTGGGTTTGAATATAATCGGTGACCACCATGAACCATCAAAGTCTTCCATATTTACGATCTCGCAGCATATTTCCAATTCATCACACTTTCGCTTCAGGAACTGTATCTTTTGATGACCTCTAACATAGATCAAATCTGCTTGATGGAGGGTATCTAATAGTATTCGATTCAGCTCATCAAAGTCCACATAACCACCTGAGTAGCTCAAACCGTGGCAGTATCGTTCAACAAAGTTTGCCGTCTTCTTCTCATATTTGCTCAAACTAGCAAACTCCACAGATGGTTTGAATAGGAAATGGCTCGTCTTTTCACCAATGCGGACTGTCAACTCTTTCGGAACGAATTCACCGACCACCAGGAAGCCTTGAATGTCGACCAGTGCGATCTGCATGATGTCTTGGAATAAACTGATGTATTGATAGGGTTGAACTTTCTGTTATCAATCAATGATTCGAACAATTTCGCTGAGTGGGAGGTGTTCCATGATTTGATCGTGAATGATGATGCAATAGGCCTTGGTGCCTGCAGGAAAACCCGTAGTTGCTTCAATCTCCAACTTGATGTCGACTGTCGATGCCTTCGGACCGAGACTTCTTCTCGAACAATCGATGACGAACATAGGATGAGTTTTGAAATCGGAAAAGTTCACCAGAGGACGCTTCTGAACACAATTTTGATAGCTTTTGTTGAATTCAGAGTAATTGAAGTGGGCATCGGCGTATTGATTGTTGGAAAAATCCAGGAGTACTCGTTCCTGTGGATAGTAGTCACCATTCAGAGCCAATCGTAAGGATTTGATGTTGGCGTGATCAAACAATGTGACATCCTCATGTATATCATCAATCTTTTTCGTTTGAAAAAAGACTACGATATATCTGGGGCTCTCCATTGCCGAACAAGTTTTCACAGACCAAACTTCGGTGGTGGAGTTTTGCGTGAGTGCTGGAAGCTCATGTAGTTCCCATTTACGAAACGCTACTATCATAGGCTCATCGGCTCGCACACGTTTCAACAATTGAAATTTGATGTCATCGTTCGGAGTGAGATGCGGTACCTTTAGAGTAATGCTGTCGATAATGATTCTGACGCTACTTTGCGTAAGAGGAGCTCCTTGGATAGAATTACTCGGCCTTTCAACAACCTTCACACTGTTGGCGTCAGTGCGTGATCGAACTAAACGAATCGACTGTTTTCCTAACGTTGCTACCTGATGATCATTGAATATGGAGAACAAATGTTTCAATGGAATGTTCATGGTGAACGTCTTATCGGCATTAAGGATGGGAGCGTTTGGGTAGTTCCACCCTGCTATTGCTAGGTGGTGTGAATCTTCAGGAGCATAACATAAATATCCTCTTACGGTACTCGTTATTCCTGGATATCGCGCTGCGTCCAATTCCTTATTGCACAATTCATATGTGCAAGATTCAAAGAGATATGCGCCGGCATTGTGAGTTAAAGTGCCCGTACCACCTCCAACAACTTCTAATTTGGCTTTTACGATGAGAACACCCTCGAACATAGCGAGCCAGACATCTGCCTGATTAATAGTAATGTCTATGATGTCATTCTTCTCAAACGATTTGACGTACGGGTGATAGGTACGCCACTCCACTTTAGTGATGGATTCATCGAACCTTGGCTTGCGAAAGACGTCGAAAACTTGGGCTGTCATCGTTGACAATAAAGCCGATTGATTTGAGAAATAGGATATTGGATAATGTCAACTGTTTCTTCGAACGATGTGGATGATGACGACGATGGTGCACGTCTGCTTTGCTGGATGACGTTCTTGAGACTGATGAAGGAGTCGGATAATCGTTCGATTTATAGGAGTAGTCAAACACTAGTCCCATCTTCCAAGTTTCTTTAATTCCAATCGGATTATTATCTCTTCACCTCTGAAATTTACCTCTCTCAAGTCCTGATCTAGTATTCGAAGCGTGATATTTGGTAGCTCCCGCCTGCTAACTATGGGTAAATGGATGAGAATCCTAGGAGTTTCGTCTATTGCGTACCCCGGATCGACTGAGACCGCAAATTCGTAGATTGTATGTGAAGGTCGATCGTTGTAAAGAGCTCCAGCAGTGACGTTGCTGTCAATTTGAATGGTTCTGACTTTGGTTATGTTAACGGGCAGATCGGAGCTGTGAATTTTATTGGCTTTCAACAATTTGTTCGAGAATCCCAACACTTGAGCGATACTATCCTTTGGTTTGAAATCAATGTCAAACCTATTGCTGGAGATCTCGCACTTCAATGTATTGTTGTTGGGTTTCAATGAGAATATATCTTCAACGTTTTTCGCAGTAGAAATACCCAATTCTTTTCGAATGAATGCTTCAATGTCCACAATGTCGTAGGAACCTTCTGGGATTTCGATGATTTTCTTTGCCTTCGACGATTGGTCTTGCAAGTAAAATTTGGATCCCTTATCGATGTTTGGTATACTGTTGTATGAGTGAAATCCTAGCAATGCTAGACCGTAGTCTGATTCTGGATCTAATTGCAGTGGTGTAAGAAAGTCTATGGAGAGCGTAGAAGTGCGACCCTTCAGCGTTAATATCAAAGACATGACTGACGTTGAACCATCTAGTTACTTGTTTTTATCGAGGAATTCCAAGCAAAGACGTCCACAATTACTTTGATTGAAATTCTGATATTGATCATTATTGTAGAAGATTTTCACATTTTCACCCAAGTATCGAGCCAATTCTTCGGGTGGTTTCAGCATTCCATAACTGTCAAAATATTCCACGACATTATCGTGTTTCTTATAAGCTACCCAATGTGTACCAGAATGATTTGAAGTATCAAAATTTATGATTGCACACTCACGACGCCAGGGACGACGTATGGGTAAAGTGTCACGCATAAAAACACCTCGAAAAAATGGTATTTTCAATTGTTTGGCATACTTTATTATTTCTGAATCGTACATGGATTTATTGGGTAGCTTGGCTACTAGTTTTTTTGCATCTTCAAATACAGCCCGAATCCTTTAGACGTCTTGCGCAAATACAAGCCAGAACCCTGCTTTCCAATGACTTCCATCGCTTTGTTATGCCGATGATCTTCTTCTAGTTTTTTCGCAGCATTTCTAGTATCAATGACAGTCTTTGCCACCGCTCCCGCGCCCCCTGCCAATGATCCCAGTGCTCTCAAAGCTGCAAAGATCGGAATGAGCGGGAAGATGCCTCCACTTTTCTCATTCGAATCGAACGGTATAATTCTTGGAACGCGGATCTTTTTCTTGCCTCCAGCTTTCTTGATGGCCATTCTAGCTGCTCTGAGAGCAGCCAGTGTAGATTTTTTCAAACCACCACCTTGATGTCCACTACCACCACCACCACCACAATTATTAGATTTCGAGAGAGCATTTTTTATGTACTTGATCACGCTGGCGAATGATGGTCGTGACATGAGACCTATGCCGAGCTTACGTTTAGCCTTCATCCCAGTAGTAACTAGCCAGGCGGCAACTTCCTCTTCGAATTTAGCGTCCTTTGCCTTGACACGTTCCCACGCTCTATTCTCAAGCACCCAATCGGCTTTATGACGATCCTCCAAAGACTGGTTCTGCGAATAGGCAATGTCGTGCTGTCGACAAGCGTCGTCCAATGGATTGATTCCAGTGTCTCCTCGAGCAAGTCTCTTCTCTAACTTCGTACCTGGCCCACAAAATCTGTAACCTGGTATGTGTAATTCGAAGGGCAGCTTATTGATTACAGAATTCAACACACCCTCACCGTGGTACAGCAACATGAAGAATGATGAGTATGAAGAGCACCACCTACATTTATATATTAGTGTACTTCAAATCATGCTATCACATGATGAAGGTCGTTCAACAAGAACGGACGCTACCTATCTAGAATTTGGATGAGGTTCTAGCCAATAGTCAAAGGAATAGTAGTAGTAGTGGCGGTAAACATGGGAAACTGCTTCCACATTCCTTCAGAGCCATCTTCTGTGGACCCAGTGGATGTGGGAAGACCAACGCAATGCTGTCCCTGCTTTTCAATCCGAATGGCGCGAAATTTAAAAACGTTCACGTGTATTCAAAGTCGTTGTACCAACCGAAATATCAACTGCTGCAACAGGTGTTGGATTCAGTAAAGGGGGTCGGATATTTTCCATTCAAAGAGAATGATGAAGTCATAGATCCGGCGAAAGCAAAAACCAACTCGATATTCATCTTTGATGATGTATCCTGCGACAAACAACAAAAAATTCGCGAATATTTTCCAATGTGTAGACATAAAGAGATAGACGTAGCGTACTTATGCCAGACTTTCAGTAAAATCCCCAAGCAGCTCATTGGTGATAATTGTAACCTAATTGTGCTATTCAAGCAGGATGAGGTGAACTTGAAGCACGTTTTCGACGAACATGTCTCACCAGATATGTCATTCAATCAATTCAAGAATTTGTGCTCAGAATGTTGGAATGGCAGTCAATTTGGGACACTAGTCATAGCAAAGTCGTTCGACATTAATGCAGGCAGATATAGAAATGGCTTCGATAAATATATAAAGGTATGATGATTACGTTAGGTCCATCATTAATCACGATGACGACAACCGATAAACATGGTGATATTTCTGATGCATTACGCAAGAGAAAAATTGGTGAACTGTCGAAATCGATCAGGAGAAAGTATTTGGCATTGAAGATGGGCAAGTCCGAAGATGATGAGGCTCTACAGAAGATATTTCAACCATTGACAGCACCTCTTAAAGATATCGCCAATACATCTAAAGTGATTCGAGAAAAGCTCGACCCACTGCCACTTGTGAAGAAAATTGAAAGAGTACCGAAAAAGGCAGCAGCGGCGCGTGGGGAGGAGGTGAAGGAGAATAAGCCGCAGCGATTCGATCTGAATAGAACTAAGTACACTCCTCTCGTGGATGTAGCTGAAGATGTTGGAGGTGATGATGATGAAGATGGTGATGCTGATGTCGATGATGACGATGCTGTTGATGATGATGTTTTTGCCGATCCACAAAATATCTCATCTGCTGCCGTAAATGATTACGTTGAACAATATCCCACAATAGCTCAAAAATACCTAACACAATACTGGACCGACCATGAAAACATCGATAAGGTTTATGGTCCTACATACGATCTAACAACATCGAAATGGTATCTCAACGCACATGAATTGAACTTCCACCAAAGAAATGGTGATATTATTGTGGGTGGTAGGCGCTTTCCCGCTACCCCAGGTCTCTATCAGCTACTATTCTATAGTGATCCATCTTATAATGAGGATGATAAGGCACAGTACAAGCAATTGCTTCTGCTCACAGACGCGCACAAGAATTCTTTAGGACACTTGAAGGGGACGAAGCGAATCAAATACAAAGAAATTATTCGTCCAATGTTTCGCTCGCAAACGACTGGTCATGGATTAAAATTGGCCTACAACACATCACCCATTGAATACATGTATTGGGACGATCCGAATGAATTGGTTGATCGATTGAAATTGCTAATCGCGTCACAACAGGCTGGAAACACATCCAATGACAATGAGATTGTTGCCATAGTTAACGAGTTGAAGGAGGCTAATATAATCAGAGAAGCGTGAAAAAACGTGAAAAGAGCGTCACGTTTTCGTCACACATGTGTTGAAAAGCGTTGAAAAAAACGTGAAAAAAGCGTTGAAAAAGCGTGACAAAAACGTGACGGATTCGTGACGCTTTTTCGACGTTTTTTCAACGCTTTTCAACGCTTTTCAACGCTTTCCAACGCTTTTCAACGCATGCGTGACGAAAACGTGACGGTTTTTTTTTTGACGCTTTTTCCACGCATTTTCGAACATTGTTCAATGATATAATAGTTTACATATATGAACTAGACTTCATTTGCACAATGAGTCTTGACAAATTCGGTCGTGGGTCTATCCCACACCATGAACGTTCAGCGGCAACAGTAGTGAGATCAGGATTCTCGTATACTCCCACCGGAGACATTGACATTGGGCATTTGAAAGTATGCAACGTGCAGCCTCCTACCAATGCTAGTGATGCCACAAACAAGCAATATGTAGATGATATTATATCCCAAATAAAAAAAGATTTCAAGATAGCATTTGATGAGTACACCAAAAGTGCTCGTGAAAATATTGCAAATTTAGGAAACATAATAGTTGATGCTTACCACATTGAATTTGAACTTGGTACAATTTTCCAGCTTGTTACATGAAATAAAAACAGATATGATACAAATGGAAAATTCGGTACTATCACAGATCTCGAAGACTATTCATGAATTCACGCAAAGAGTTGAAAATATTAATAACAACATAATTACCATCAAAAAAGATCAACAGCAAAGTCGCGAGACGGAACGACAACTCACCGAGGATATTCAACAGCTCAAAATTGAGCTGGCTAAGAAAGTATATACAGTCATAAGTCCACCTCCTCCTCATCCTCCTCCTCCCTCTTCTAAGCCAATATAAGTTTCATTTCTCCATTTTTCACAATCACTCCAATTTACAATGGCATCAATGCTACAACACTCTAAAGAAAAAATTCAGCTCGTCAATGAGCTGCATAAGCCTAATAGAAAAAACTTTCCTCGACGTCGCACCATCATCAAAGGACTAGACGACTTATGGCAGATGGATTTGGCTGAGATGCGTTCATATGCTTCGAAAAATAA